TGGCTCTTACAGAGGGTCATATGAAAACAGGAAACAAACAGAAGGCACCTCTCTTGTACAGAAACTTGTTGCAGAATTTCTTAATGTTTGGGTCAGGCAATACAATTTTTATTTAAGACAAAACCTTTTCAACCATCTCTAACTTGATTCTGAGTCTCAAATTTATTATTTTTGATAATCCATTAACTTTCCTGAAGCATCCTTGGGGATACTTTTGGCTTTTACTTTGCTTTCAGAATTTTCTCAGCTCATTACATGTCACTGATCTTCTGTACTGTACTTTTGCTCAGCCTGACTGTTTTTTTGTGCTGAAGAAGATAGAGCTGACTGATGCTCATGGTAACTCAGAACTTTGTAAGGTGGGATCAGGAGCACTGTTAGGTGTTTGTAAAATATCCAGCTGGTTCCATCAGTGCTATTGTCCTCTGCCCCTGCTTAGGAGAAGTAACCATCCTATGCAGTATTTCTCCAGCTGATCCAATCACTTATGGCTGTACTGTTCTGTTATCTTGTCTCCACCTGTGAATGCTTCAAGCTTGCTTATTAAAGACCAAGTATATTCCTGTCCTATGTGGACTTACTGTCACCTGAAAATTATTTACCAGTTCAATTTCTGAACTTAGTGGGAGCACTAAGTTCAGAAATTGAAGCCAAGAGAGATCATATTTTTAGGCTGGGCACTGAAGCCCACATCTGTTTAAACACCTGTATTGTTATTTTATTAATAAACTCTTGTCCTTGTTTTTTTCTTTTCTCTTTATTAGGTACACTTTCTTGTTGGCAGCTTGACAATGTAACTGTGTTTCAACTCCAGATTAAGAACCTTCCACAAAATTAACTTCTTAGTAGTCTTCTGATACATGACTTAACTGGTGTATCTGAATACTACAAGCATTATTTTGCAACTGACGTTAATGCTGTGAGTCCGTCGTACTGGGACACTCAGATGTTCCTCTAATGAGTGATCTGGGGAAGCCCAAGTCATTATTTAGGCTTACTTGTTTAAGATGGAAGATATTCAGCAGCTCTCCAATGACATTTTTAATGAAATGCCTACGAGCATGCATAATGCTAAGTGCCAGGTGTAAACCTGGTGCCAGGTTTAAATTTTATGTATCAGAGGGTTCTTTCCCACTCTTCCACCTCACAGACAATGAGAACATTAATGCTGTTGGTTAATATATATTCATTTAAATATAATTTATTTAACCTTTTCATGCATTAATTCTTAATTAAAGAAGAATTCAGACCAATAAGAACAACAATTGAGTTTGTTTTCTCCTAATTAAAAATACTCCCATATGAAGAAAATACTTAGAAAATTCCATCTGGACTGGATGGAGTTAGGCTGCATCTTCCAGGTTAATTGAATTTTTTCAACCTTCTTTTTCTATGTAGAAAAGGACAAGAGCCTACTTCTTTTAAAGCACTTTGTATGCTCTCTTCAGACAGGATAGGTGACTGCAGTGAATAAGATTGATGACATGAAAATTTTGCATTGATAGCAATGCATTTTGAATATTAATGTACTGTTTCATAATCATGTGGTTTTTTGCAGTAATGTCTATGTTGTGGTTAAAAATCACAGCAAAACAATTTTTTGATCAGCACTGGAATTAATGAGGCCTAGTTCATAATGACACCATATTGCTACTTACTCTAGTGCAGCAACTCACATCCCTCCACAATGCTTCCAGTTCTGTGTCATGTTTCCCTGCTCTTCAGCATGTAGGCAGCATGTCTTCCCATTCCCTTGTTGTCAGTACCATGAGAGGCATCATCTGCTATGATGGATGCTAAATGGAATAACTGGGTAAGCACAAACCAAAATAAGCAGTCTAAAGTGGAGAGAAATGAGCAGAGATGGTTCTCACCCCTTAGGAAAGACTTAGTCTCAGTTTTCTGTATTCAGGTCTTTAATTTAATGATGGTTGTGGGAACTTGCTTATTCTCAAGGCATCTTTCTGAGTGTCAAGTATCTCTGAAATCAGTGCAAAATCAATGAAATAGGATTGAACCAGAGTAAAGTACCAGGAGATCTCAAATCTGCTAGATTTCAGTCTCCTTGAGAAATATGGACCAAAAGCAACTAGGTCATGAATTTTAAAAGGGTTGGAAAATCTTCCATCATGATGATACTGTGGCAATGACCTGGCTCCTTAGTTAACATGATTGCTAATTAATCTGGCAAACCTTTGGCCTGCAGGGATTCCAAAGAGAATGCCTATTTTTTCCACTTTATATCAAGATCCACTACTGTAATTCAGACACCTTTTCCTTCTTTGCCTTTCAAATTAACAGCTTCCAGGCTATTGTAAATTATTCTTCTCCTGTAATTTCTTCTTGCCAGTGAATATTTGAATTGAAAAAAACAAGACACATTCCTTGTTTGTATGTTGTTGTGTTGTTTAGAATATGTTATGTGTCCAATGGGAATATGCTCTTATGCATTTACTGAAAAATAGGAAAACTATGGTTTTCCATTTACCCTAAAACCCCTTTCCTACTCTGAGCGAAGTCATCCATAGAAGAGTGTAATTTCTATGTTCATTTCCTTGTGGTGATTGGAGTGATATCCCCAGGAAAACATTTTTCTCTCTTCTTTCTATATGTGTGAAAATCTTAGCTCCTGTGTTGGCCACCCTTGAAATCTTGTGATCATCCATCAGAGTGTTCTCTTTAGCACTTTCATAACATGTTTCTCTTCCATTGTATCTTTAGGCAATCCTACTTATATCAGTAATACTTATCTTTTGAGGGGATGGGATTTGTAGGTGAAAAGGTTGATTTCTGTTACTTCGGTAGCATGAGTGGCAATAGTTTACATACTCAGTAGCTGAAAAAATAAAGCAACTTGCAGTAAGTATTTGAATAGTACCAACTGATGAAAAAGCTTCAAATAGTGCCTTGTAAGCGAAAGTTTGTGCATGTGATGTATTTGCTTGATTTTTGTTTTGGTGTTACTTTGTGGCTTTGGAAGTAGCAGATGAAGGAAAAGATTCTGCACAGATATTTTCTCCTCCTGGCTTAATCCTTAGCTTTGGTGTGGTTGTACATATGGAGTGTAAAACAAACTCTCAAATCCTGTTATTTGTACCATCTGAGTACAAAGGGAGCAAAATGAAAGCATTGGAGAAAACAAGTCAGGTACACAGATTTGGTTTTGCCATCTCTTTTCTGTTTTGTTTGGGGTTTTAATTAATTTATTTTTTTTAATTTCAACTCTCAGAGTTGGTGAATACTAGTTACTAGTATGTATTTTTCCTTAGGGTTATGATCCTGTTCCTCTTCTAGTGAAGGTAAATCCTACTGATTTACAAAGGAGCTGAAGACTTGTCACTACACAGCACACCAAGGCACTTTATACTCCAGGTATCTGTGTCACCTTTCAGGAATATTTTTTCAGGCTTTTTCCTTTTTAAAATCTACTCTGTGATTATCATGCTATTTTAGTCCTGTCAAACCAACAAATGTATAAAATGCTTGTTTCTGTGAGTCCATTTCTTTACCATGTTGCATTACTGCTTGTGCTGTAACCATTTCTTTTGGGACCCAAGCTGAAAAAAAATTTGTGTTAATACATCTCTAAAGTTCCCTATAACTTCTGCTGTATGACAGGGTGTCTGTCAGCCTTAATGACTGCAATTGCTGTATAGTACAGTGGCCTCTTGTCAAGATTTGGGTGGCACCACAGAAGTACTACAGGGATCCAGAGTATGTTTTCCCCTGGGAAAGATCATCCCATTTTTAAGAATATACTCATTATGGAGAAATACTTTAGCTTTCATTTTTGGGGCTTGGTTGAAATTTTCAATGACTTATATATCCTTCCATTCTCCTGAAGTTTTGTTTTGTTATGGCAAGTCCAAATGGCCCTTTTGGTCATTCAGGTACTTGATAATACTGGGAACTGAGGCACAGGGGTATGTGGCACAGCCCTCCATGTCTAATTTCACTGTCCCAGTGCTCTCCTGCTTTAGAAGATGGGATGAAGCTGCAGGCATGGGAATGGAGGAGTTGTTTAATAATACTTGGTTTACAAGGACTCATTGCATAAAAGAAAATGTAATCTGTTTCAAGCGGAGATTTTGACAATTTACAAACCTTTTGTTCCCTTCTTCTAGCTATTTATTCATTCAATACTGCTGCTGCATTTGGTGGCCTGTGATTTCCAGCCATGCCATGCAGTGTTATTTAACTGTCTGTAAAGCATATTTGTCTGTGCAATTCAATTTTCATCCATATTTTTCTAAGTTTCAACATTTCTTCATAGCATAATCTTATTATTTTTAAGCTTTTTAACCCTTTGAATGTGGACTCATAATTTTCATCACCTATACGACAACACTACAATCAGAAGGCAAGCCTTCAGAATAGGTAAGCACATACTGCTGTTTGTGCAGGCAGGGGGAACTAAGCAATCATGCTTTTAGAGTCACATCTTTACAGAGCAGAACTGATACCATTAAATTCCCTTGGGATCCCAGTTTGGTAATGGGCTGATCAATCAGCACATTGTTGTCATCCATTCCACTTTGAAACAGTTTATTTTCTGCTTTAGATCAAATTATTTTGAGCAGAGCTCTCTAAAAGGGAAAACAGTTTCTATCAATTAGTAGAAGCAAACATGTGTTCTGTAGCTATGCAAAGATCCTATTTAAAATTTTCAGTTAGGACATGTACATATTTTAAAATAGAACATAACATGTCACATATGATAGTGGCAGAAGGGGAGCTGAAATGCAAAAATGTTATGAACGTCACAGACGAAGCTGTGTGAAAACCTATAAATATTGATATGTCACCTAGTTACTGTGTGAGAAGCTCTGGGAAAGACTTGTGCAGCACATGCTTTGCAGGACAGTTTCTCTGGTGTAACAATTGTGGGGCAGCCGGCATGATTTGCTGCCCCTGAGACCCGGCAGGAAAGAGCACAACCAAATTTCTGACCATCTAGGACACAGGCTCTTGCTGACTGTCCAGCCACCAAGCAGCTGAGGTGTCCATTGTCTCTCACAGAACAGCTGCTCAGTGGAAGTAACCGACCCCAACGAGTAAAACAGCCTGTGCTGCCTCTTATCTGCTTAAGCACGTGGAGTCATCTCAGGTGTGAAAGGGCCTTTGCTGTATTTTGGGATACTGATGAAGAAAGGGTAATTGAAAAGAGGGAGCAGGCAAAAATAAATTAACAAGGAAGTACAACAAAAGAGGGGAAAGACAGAATAGCTTGATATTTGCTATTCTGAAAGGGAGAAAGCAGCAGTGTGAGTGATGGTAGGACATTACAGGATTGGTTGGGAGTTTCTGAGGACAGGAGAAGCGGGAAATATTGTGAAGGAAGGGAACATGGGAAGGATGGCAGAGGTACAGAGTTATCTCATAGTAGAGAACATGGGTGGCTTGACAGTAAGCATGGTGTGAATATGGAGCCACCACCTGCATTAGAAATTCATGAACAAAATATCACTGCTCAAAACCTTGCATTGGATTCATGAAGGAAAAGCCTTCCGATGTAACAATTGCCTCCCTCATAAGGCAGCCATATGTGTGCATGTTTTTTGAGGCCTTTATCCAGGAAGGAAGGGATTTTAAGGATGTAAAATAGTTTGTATTCTTAAAAAGAAAAACAGATGTCAAACATCAGGTAGTGTCATGGACATTACTTGCACAGTTCATGGGAGATAGACTCAGGTGGTTTCTGTGGGAACTGGTCATCCTCCTGTGTTGGTACTGGTAAGCACTAGAGCAAAGCAAGGTGTGTCTCACATTTTTCACTATTTTTAAGATATGTTTGCTCTCTACTAATTCATAATTTGTTACATGAAGGTAGGGCTCTTCTGTTATCAAAATTGTTGTGGAGGAAAGTACAGTTGTATTATCAGAGTAATTGACATGGTTGATACACTGTGACCCTCAGCCTAATCTGAGACAAAGGAAATTGCACAATTGACTACCTTCTCTTAAATGAGAGGAATTGAATCAGTCTAACATGTGGTTGAAGAGACTTGGAGTTAGACATTCCTGTGTAATTATAGCAATCTTTAGCTGAGGTCTGAATTAGTTTGTTCAATCATTGTGAAAGCACAGAATAATTTCAACATGCCGTAGTTCTCAGCAGATGGAGATGTATTTCAAGCTGTGTATACGTTTGAATGAGACAAGGCAAACATACAGATAAGTAAAAATAGACTAGGACCCAAAGTGCATTTGCTTTTTCTCTTTAAAGCTGAAATCCTGCTTGACAACTACTGAACATTTTGTCCTCTTTGAAGTATTTGTTTTCTATTTCATGAAGTTAATCTGGTCACATTTCAAAAAATGTTGCTCTGTCTTGATTGTATTTCTTGTTTAATGCATAAGTCTCACTTGCAGGGTCTCTGAGTATAGAAATTAGAGTTATGAACTATAAAGGTGTTTTAATTTTGCAACAATGACTCCACTAAAAAGGATTAATGATTACTTCGGTACTGTGGGCAAGAGAGACTGATGTTGTTTTCTTACCTGGCACCACAAAATGATAATCTGGCAATGGACATATGATTTTTACTGGCTTTCATGAGCCTCAGGAATATGAATGCATTATGTGGCACATTTTCCAGTCCTTAAACACTCAAACATTCACTATTTCTTCCAGTCTGCAGGAAGCAAGTTCTAAGAAGTGTAATAAACCATAGAAGGTGTATTTTTCAATTGAGCTATCTCTAAGAGAATAATAATAATTTGCACCTCTTTTACATGCAAAATATGGATACACACATGTAGATTGGATTCTCAGTTAGTGAAACTAACGACTATAAAGAGACTTAGTTTCTTTGTAAAGAACTTTAAGGTCTACTAGTGAAAACACTGCATAAGGGTTGGGTATAACTATCTTTTATGACTTTCTTCAAAAGACTGCCTGGGTGTCAAGGGAACCAAATATGTGGAACGATGTTCTTAAATTAGAGACTAGTACAGATTCAAATAAATAACTAAAGTACTTTTTATGGGTTTACTTAATTTTAGACATTTGAATAATATAATTCCTAATGGAAATGTTGATGAACCTCTATCACAATTTGTAGACTCTATAGAGAGCCTTAAATTGTGGGTGATTTATAAATTTTTAATTACATTTTGATACTTTGTCTTGGGGTACATGTGTATTCATGAAATCTGAGAGAGCACAGTTAATCAGAAAGATGGTGCTCAGCCCTTGTATAGCTTCAGTTGTGTGCGCAGCTGCAAAAATGTTTGATTGCAGTAATTGCTATTCAAAAATGCTCGTGGTGGTTTTAAGTATGGTTATACATATATTTGGCCAAGTGTTTTGATTATGCACAGTTTTGGCTACATTTTTTAAAAATTGGCAAATACAGTCGGCAGAAAAGTCGGCATTTTAAGTTGTACATACATTCTCCATGACTCTGGGTGGATGTAAATAGGGAATGAAAACATACCTGATTAATTGATTGCAGCTGAATGTACAAGTTCTCTATGTGCTCTTGCTGAAAGTATTTGACTAACAGACATGTACACCCAATGGTAAAATAGTTACTAAAATTGGAAATCCTTAGCTCATCGACACATACAGGTTAGGAATACAAGAGAGAACATTTTTGGAATGTAGTAGTCTTCTAAACTACACTTTTTGAATGTACTATTTATCACTTAGAAGGGCTTTCTATCAGAAGGTTGTTTTGGCACTGAGGTAATGATGTTTTGTACTGTGAAAGGACAGAAATGAATTGTTCTGTAGTTGCTGGGGAAATAGCTCTTTACTTAGCTTGAAAGCAGGGACAATGCAGGCTAGAATAGTGTAAAATTGTAATGAATCCTATGTAGTATCAATCCATCTTCATGACAACAGATCCAAACTTTGCAATATTTTGGCTGGCATATAATGAATATATTATATTGCTATGCTAACAAGCTGCTTCAATGTTTTTGTGGATTCTAAAGCACTATTGAGGCACAGAAGCTGTTTAGCTGTATCTAGCTAGAAATGAAAATGAGTGGATATGACTGAAATCCTGTGCAATAATAACTTCACTTTTGATTTGTGTGAAGCTAGATTGGTTTTTAAAAAACAATTTCCATTCTGAAATGGGTGATGATATAACTGAATACATTAGCCAAATCAAGATTTTAATTTTAGTATGAATTGCACAGTATTAACTATTTTAGGATTAACTAGCCATGGACCATGTGTTCTTCACTTCAGAATATGATAGGTGTTTTAAAATGAGCAATCCACTCGCTGCTAATGTAACAGGCCCAATTTTCTCCCTCATGGAACTCCCAACAGAAGCCTGTTGGATTTACATCAGACCCTGGATTTAAAGTTTGCCATTTTTGTTTTGAAAAACAGTTTCATATTGCACTATTCTTCCCAGAGACAGCTGTATAGCTTTGGAGTATTGAACAGGTTCTCTCAAATCTCGACAACCAAGATCCTTGACAACCATTCTAGAGATTCATGCTTGCCATCCTAATAAGAGCATCGTCAATTATTGTCCTTTTAATCCCACTGCATTTCCCTGAGGAGCAAGGAAAAGACTTACTTCATTTCCTGGCATGTCAGGATTCTGACAATCCACTGCTACTATTTCAGTCCTGATGCTCATATGGAATGCAAGTCTTGAAATTTGACTGGGATTTGAATTGAGGTAGATAAGAAACTAGACCACGGTAGCTCAAAAAGGAATATGGATGAGAATGAACATACACAGCCAGCATAGTTGGTTTTTACTGAACTTGCAGACCATTAATTACATTTTTACTTCTATTTGGATAGTTTAAGAACCAAAAATGTCCTTACTGTATCCTGACAATGTCTACTTTGAATCCAGATTGGTGATCTGTTGCTCAGAACTGTGACAGAGAATAGAAATTCCTCTGTTCTTGGTAGGTCAGAGAGGAGATGGAAAACTTCCATTAGAAGTCTCTGCTCTGGAAGACTTTCAGCCTAGTAAGTAATGAGTAACATTGCTGTTCCACTTCAGCAGGTTGTCAAATTAAATATGTTTCTGTGATGATGCTTCTGGCATAGCTGGCCTAATGCATATGCAATTCATGTATTCAAGTAAAATAAAAATGAGATAAAGTGCACATTGAGTGTGTGAGCTGGAAAACCTTATGCCATTTCTGTGACTAAGGTAGGTGACTTGGGTGTTAAGCTGTGTTTCCCTGGAGGACAAGCCTCTGGTGTTGAAAGTTGTAGCACTAGTACAGCCAGGGTTCCTGAAATCATCAGAAATCATCAGCCTACATGCCTGTCCCCTTGGCACTAAGAGGCACGGTGAGATGAACTGCAATGGCTCCAGCTGTAGGACACAGAGTCTTTTCGCTAATGCAGACATCTGTAGAGATAAATGGCAAAACCTACATTGCAAAGTGAATGGCAAAAGCCTGACTTTGAGACCCAGAAATACTTAAGTGAAGTCAAAATCTCCACAGGCATCTATGAATTTTGGAACCGTTTTTCACAGGGACCTTGATGTTTGTTCTGGCTTTAGCAACTGCTGACCAGAAACAGAGACAAGGCACTTTTTCAAGCCATATAGGAGCTGTTGCAGCTGACTGACTCTGGGAGCTTGCAAGGGCTACAAATTTAGGAAAGCTTTTCCTCTGTCTCTTAGAGGTTAACACTGAGCACTCTCTAATATTGAAACAGGGGCTAACCCTGACCTGATATAAGATCCTAGATTTTTATTTCGCAGAGGTAATAATTGCACATTCCCCCTTCCAGTTAGGTTGAGTGAGGCAGACTAGCTTCTGCTTACTGTTTAGCAGCTGAATACTTTGTGTGCTGGAGGGCATGACGAGGCAGGGAGGGAAATGGCAAATAAGACTGGGAGAGCAAGGACATCTGCTGCTTGAACACAAATCTGATGTAATTAGAGTAACTGAAATGTGTCCTGTTCAGGAAATAGGCTGTAATATTACATTATCCAGATACAGAGTTTAAGGACAGGCAACTATCACTGAGAACAGAGGAGATATGACAGTCTGAATGAGGAAGGACATTATGCTGAAAACAGAATAACATTGACATGGATGGCAACTAAGAGACACCTTGAACTTGAGACTGAAAACTGAAATGGTAAAACAAATAAAACAGAAAACAATTACAGATCTCCTAGGGCTGGGTGAAAAGACAGATCAGGAAATATTTATGCAGACATGAGACTGTACTTGGGCTAGGACATTGATCATATGAAACTGCAATTACTCTGACATTGTCTGGAATGAGAATTACAGAGGAATTTAGGAAGCTGGAGCTGTGTGTATTGACAGATTCTTTCTATCCTGCAGTTTGACAACCAACAAGATTAGAGGCCATTTGGAAAAAGCTGCAATGGCTAAGCAAGGCAGCACATTTGCTGATGCCAGCACTCTGGCCAGAATGACATTAGCTGAAAGTTAGGATGGAAGGAAATTGATGTTGGATGTGAACATGATTCTGATTTCCAGATGTGAGGAAATCCATGCTCTATTGCACTCTGTGGGCTGTAACTTTTGGGTGAATTGAAGTGGATGTCATTTTACTGGATAACATAGCACGTTAATTTTCAGGACTGCATGTCCTGACATAGGTTTGAAACAGAATCACTGACCCTGGTGGGGTTTGATTGTATTTGTCTTAAACTTTTGAAAATATATGGTGGAGGATTTCATGATGTGGAAGTAATTATTGCCAGCCTGCAAAAAGCTTGAGGAGTTGTTCTTGCTGAGTAGAAGGAGCTGAGACTGACAAGGTGGGGATAAATACTTTTTCTATGGGATGAGATGACAGCAGTTACATGGTTCAGACAGACCACTGAAACCATCACACATATCTGGTGAAAGGCAAATCACAAAGATGCAGAGAAAGCCCTGTTCTGAAAATCCTTACATAATTTGCCCTGCAGAAGTCTTTTAAAATCCACAAGACATAATTTACAGGAAGACCCATGCCCTTTCTTACACTGACATAACATTGTGGACTAACTTGTGTTGCATATGTACAGTGATGCAATGAATATTTGATGTAAAAAAATTCTCTCTTCTGTGAGCTGTTTGCTAGGAATGTTCGTCATGACTTTTGACATGTTAACTCCTCTGAATGAGCAAATTATATTACTCCACTTATTCTGCCTGATTCTTGGTAAAAATCTGCAAAATTCTTTTGGATTGAAATTAATGGGGCAGCATCGCACAAACCCCACTTGGAACTGCCATAGTAATCTAATAAATTTATAACTTTCATGCTTCCAGGATAAATATGATTTTGAAATGTGGTTAGCATTAATATCTTTAAAGAACCACACCAAATTCACTATATTTTGTAGCAGTCTGGCCTGGATATTCCCTCAGTAGAGTACTTCTAGAACTTCAGCAAAATAAGGGAAATAAACTCTTTCAAAAACATTGGTTTTCTGTATATGCATTTTGCAGGCCAGAGAGTAAGAGTTTCCTACACAGCCAGACAATTCCTACTGCTTCTTTAGGAAACCAAATTTTTTTCTACAGAATGCTAGGGGTTGTAAGGGACCCAGGTGCCACTCTCCTCCTGCCATGAGCAGGGTCACCTTCCACTAGCCCAGGTTGCTCCAAAACCCATCCAATCTGGCCTTGGACACTTCTGGTCTCTGGGCACCCACAGCCTCCCTGGGCAGTTCAGGAGCGATACTGTCAGTGTGGGCAAACGGGAGGATTTACAGAACATACCCAGGATGTGCTCTAGGGATAATGGTGGGATCTAGGAAGTTGCAAGGAGGGGAAGATGGACACAGCACAAAGAGGAAGTGGCAGGGAGCAGTGCTGAGAAGCTGCCTGCTCTGAGTCACAGCACTGGCACAGGAACATACAGCATTTCTCTGTGGAGGAGCCTGGGGGGAAGGCAGTCACTTCTGCTTTTTCAGGTTCTTTCTAATGTACAAGCTTCTAAGCGTATTTTCTCAAATAACACTAAAATACAAGTAATGTTAACATACAGCTGCTAACAGATATATTTGTGTATCTATATGTTATATATCTGTATATATCTATATATATTATATCTGTGTGTATATATATTTGTTGCTCTTCTTGAAATATGATTAGTGGTAAAAATAATACCAAACTGAAAGTTCTTGGAGCTCTGCATCTCCAAGAAATTTTCTTTCCTTTAGACACCAAAGAAATAGTAAAGATAGTCACAGAAACAAGAAAAGTAGCTTAGCTCTATGCCCTCTGCTATCTGCAATATGTGATGTTGTCCACTGAGCTGAAGCAGGTGGTTTTCTGCATGTCTTTCCCTGTCTCCTAAATGCAGTTCTGTGTCTTTTTTGGAGCTTACTTCTGCAAAGGGAATCACTGCCATCTCCTGGTCAAGTGACAGAGAATAATAAAATCCTTCCACCCACTCATGAGCTGTACCATTGCCCCACTCCATGGAAGCAGGGATCAGTGGGCATCCCTATGGATTTGGTGCAGGCCATTCCATGACTATTATACCAGTTATTTATCTGAGCATTCTGAGAAAAAGGGAACAATTAATTTTTGTCTGGTCCAATGGGTCCTGACTAGTCAAATTTGTACTTTGTTCCATCATTGTTATAATATGTAAATGGAGAGAAAGCCATTGTTTGTGCTATAAAAGCATGACAATTTAAGTACTTTTTCCTTAGACAATGCCTTAGACTTCTTTAACAATACCCTTACATACAATACTCTTTTGATCAACAATACTCCTTTGTGTTACAGATCCACATAAATTCAGTCTGTACTTTCAGTTTTGCTTCTAAGTGACTGTAACAGCACAGGTCATTATGAGCATAAATTTCTGTTGGAGTGAATGGCTAAAGGCACAGCTGTTTGCTATCAGTCCTATCAACTAGTCACATAGTGCCAATAAATGCCTTATGCTTGCTTTGCTGTTTAGGAAATATAAATATCCCTATGACTGCATGTGAAGGGACAAAACTATTTCATTTATTAGGAACAATCATTTCCATAAGACCTTTATGTCCTAAAAATCTAATCTTCAGTATGATTGTATTTTCTATGATCTTTCTTCATCAGGAAATTCTGACTTATAAGTCAGCTTAAATATTTATTTAATCAAATATCAGTTTGCAATGAGAATTTCCTAATTTTTATCTTCCAATAACTTGCCCTCATTGTCACCTCTGGGTTCATAGCCAGAAGTCGATTAAAAAACCCACTTAAGTATGGCCACTTCGGCATGAATCTGCCAGCTAGTGCTATATAAAGGTTGCACTTTAAAATGTCAGTATGCATTGTAGCTTGTATGTCTAGAAAAGACTAATGGGTAAGGGAGTAAAGATGGGAAGTACCAGTACAGCATTTTGAGACTTTGGCTTGTGTGTTGCAACAAAAAAATGTTCTTGAAGAATGAGACCAGGGGCTTGCAGACATTTAACATTTAGATTGTGTTTGTTCACATCCTTTCTGTGCTGTAATTCCACAGCTCTCTCAATCTACTGCATGGAATAAAAAATGTGGCCAGAAGCTGACATCACTGCTCAACAAGATTAGGAGCAGCCTTTAATCTCATTTTTAGTTATTCCTGGTTCCCATTAATGTATACAATAATAATAATAATAATAATGAAGGACAGTAGTTTTTTATTACCCATGATGTAATCTTTGTGACTTTCAGGATAAAGGATTTTGTGTATAATGGTTTTCAACTTTTTACTTAAAGAGCAAAGCTTATTTTACAGCTTTCTTTCCCATACTTGTAGGCCTCTGCTCATCCCATGAAGTGTTTATACCAAACAAATTATTTGAGCATTGTTATGCCCCAAAGATGCATATATCAGATGTGTTAGTCAAGTGTCCCCAAAAAAACCCATGCAGCAGAACAGGTAATTGTAAAAGGCTTCTAATAAGGAAATAATTCAGAAGAAATCAAACCTGACCCTGGTAATTTTGGGGGGCTTTTTAATTATATTTAGAGGACATACAAGATTAACTCAGATTA